GTCCCCGCAGAGGCACACGTCCCGCTCGGACTAGTCCTCCTCTAGGCTTGACCGTGATTATCGCCAGGCACAGAGTTGCCGCTCCAGTGGATCTTGGTCACCGGGTAGCAATCACTCCAGATATGGCTCCAGTATGGAGCAAGGCTCCACATCAGTGGGGCAGCCTCCCGGGCTCTCGGTGCCGTGTGCACCATCAGTACCAAAACTTGCTCAGTGGCTGGCCCTGCGGTACCGGCCTCTTCATCATCATGACCGGACAAGGCCATCACGGAGCCCCCTCACCCGGTTCCTCAGATGATGCTAAGGCACACCAGGAGCTGCTGAAGAGGGTTGCGTCCAACCTTGGCCTGCAGGTCGAGGAGTTGGAGGAGCAAGTGGACTCTTTGTTCGACATCCTCTCCTCCACAGCCCCTGCTAGGGTGCCTCTTCCCTTCACAAAGAGCTATTGAAGATATCCAGTACTTTGTGGCAACTCCCCTCCTCTCTGTCCCCCATTTCCAAACGGGCAGAGCGTAAGCACAAATACCTTTACTCCTATCCTGCCTCAAATTCCCTGGTGGTCGAGGGGCAACCCAGAGCTACCCCCAAAAATAAAGACTCCAGGAGACTGGACTTGTTCAGATGGAAAATTTATTCCTTGTCTAGCTTGCAGCTGAGGGTGGCCAACCATCAGGCCCTCCTTGGCCGCTATGACTTTAATATGTGGCAAGCCACGGCCGAGTTCGAGAATGCCCTCCTAGAAAGTTCCCGTAAAGAATTCCGTGCGACCCTCGACGAGGGCACGGCTGCTAACAGGGTGGCCCTTCAAGCGGTGGCAGACTCCGGCACCTGCAGCCTGGTGTCCGCCATTTCCATACGGCGAGCATCCTGGTTGCTCCTCTTTGGGTTGTTCTCCGAGGGTCAGCAGTCGATTCAGGACCTCCCCTTCGATGGCTAGGCCCTGTTTGCGAAGCAGACAGACAACAAATTACATAGGCTGAAGGACTCCCGAACCACCCTAAAACCCCTGGGGCTCTATGTTCTGGGCCCGGCACATAAGCGTTTCAAACCGCAACTACTCCAGGGGCAAGGAAACCAGCCCCAGTAGGACCCATTGCACAAAAAGCCCAACGACTATAGACAGCGCGCGAGCCACCTGTCCCCACCCTCTGCCCAGTCGGGCTCGAACCACTCCAAGCAAGGAGCTAAAAAGTCGTTTTGGGGGTATGCCTGAGTGCGACCTACCAATCTATTCCCTGGATCCAATTTTCCCAGTTTTTTGCAACCGCCTTTCCTTTTTCCTCCCGGTGTGGTCAGCAATAACTTCGGACTGCTGGGTCCTCCGTATGATGGCACACGGTTACACTCTCCAATTTATTTCCACCATCTCCCTCCCCGTCGCTCTTCAGGGACTCTTCTCATGAGAGTCTTCTCGAGCAGGAGGTTCAGGCTTTCTTACAGCTGGGGGCAGTGGAGGAAGTCCCGCCTCCTTATCGGAACAAGGGTTTCTATTCCTGGTATTTTCTGATCCCAAAGGCCAAGGGTGGTCTGCGTCCCATCCTGGACCTGCGAAACCTCAACAGATACGTAAAGAACTAAAGTTTCGCATGGTCTGCTGGCCTCCATTATCCCCTCCTTGGATACGGGAGACTGGTATGCTGCCCTCGATCTGAAAGATGCATATTTTCACGTAGCGATCTTCCCAGGACACAGATGCTTTCTCCGTTTTACGGTGGGTTCGGCCCACTAACAGTTTGCAGTCCTTCCGTTTGGCCTGGCTACAGCCCCAAGGTGTTTACCAAGTGCATGACGGTAGTTGCGGCCTACCTCAGGCTTCGGCGTATCCAGATTTACCCGTACCTCAACGACTGGCTGGTCAAAGGCAGTTCCAAGGCTCAGGTCCAACACGACGTCGCTGTACTACAAACCATGTGCCGCTCCTTGGGACTACTGGTCAACCACAAAAAGTCCATGTTCGTTCCAGTTCAAAGGATAGAATTCATCGGGGCCATGCTCAACTCAACCCGGGCAAGAGCGTTCCTGCCATTAGACAAGTTTCAGGCCCTGACAGACCTCTTCGCGGAAGTGTCCGCATTTCTCCTGACAACGGCTAAGATATTCCTGTGCCTGCTAGGCCACATGGCAGCTTGCACAAATGTGGTCGGCAATGCCAGGTGGCCTGCACTGCCATGCCAGGGGGTCCGCATATGGCCCCCTGCAGCAATGGCTGGCGTCGACCTATTCCCAATCCAGGGACCACCTGGAGAAGACCGTCACCATTCCCCCGGCAATTCTCCCCTCGCTGCAGTGGGGGACTGATCGCAAGAAGGTCCTGGAAGGAGTCCTGTTTGACAGTACCGCCCCATCTGTTGAGCTAGTGTCGGGCACTTCGGACCTCGGTTTGGGGGGCGCACCTTGAACATCTCTGGAACCAGGGGATGTGGACCCGGAGGAGGCAGTGTTATACATAAATGTCAAGGAACTCAGAGTGGTCCGGCTGGCCTGCAGGGTCTTCCTGCCACACGTATAGGGCAAAGTGGTGAGAGTCCTGATAGACAATATGGCCTCAATGTTCTACATCAGCAGGCAAGTAGGAGCGCGCTCATTGGCTCTCTGCCAAGAGGCTCTCCGTCTCTGGGACTTCTGCATCAGCCACAGCATCCATCTGGAAGCTGGTCACCTCCCAGGCATCAGGAATTGCCCTAGCAGATCACCTCAGCAGGGACTTCTCTTCTCACCACGAGTGGTCACTCCATCCGGAGGTGGCCTGCATGATCCTCCAGAGGTGGGGAACTCCCCAAGTAGATCTGTTTGCCATCAGGCGAAACAGAAAGTGCCATCCGTTTTGTTCCCAGCAGGGCCTGATGCCTTCCTCCTGTCGTGGCCGAGGGTCTGATGTACGCGTACCCTCTGGTCAGCTGGGTCCTAGTAAAGATCAAGAGGGACAAGGCACAGGTTATCGTGATTGCCCTGTGTGGCCTCGCCAGTGTTGGTTCTGCACACTCATAAACATGGTGGTGGCCCCTCCCTTGCCCCTTCCCTACCATCTGGACCTGCTGTCACAGGATCACGGTCAGCTCCTACACCCCAGTCTTGAGTCTCTACACCTCTTGGGGTGGATACTCCGTGGTTGAAGCTGGAGGCGCGTACCTGCTTGGAGGAGGTCCAGAAGGTCCTCCTGGGAAGTAGGAAGCCATCCACGAGACTAACTTACCTGGCCAAGTGGACGAGGTTTTCCCGCTGGGTGTCGGAGCGCGGCATTTCTCCCTCACGTTCTTCAGTGCAGTCCATCTTGGACTACTTACTGCAGCTCAGGAATCAGGGTCTGGTGCATTCTTCCATCAGAGTGCACCTTGCATCCACCAGCCGATCCAAGGTCAGACAGTCTTTTCCCATGACATGACTGTCAGGTTCCTGAGAGGCTTTACCCACAGGTACGGGCCCGTGTCCTGCAGTGGGACCTTAACATGGTCCTCTCCAAGCTCACTGGCCTGCCTTTCGAGCCGCTGGGCTCCTACTCCCTTTCCTACTTGTCCTGGAAGGTCACTTTCCTGGTGGCAGTGACGTCGGCGAGACGAGTCTCAGAGATTAAGGCCTTGACCTCAGAACCGCCTTACACAGTGTTTTATAAGGACACGGTCCAGCTGTGGCCCCACCCATCCTTCCTGCCGAAGGTGGTATCTTCCTTCCACATGAGCTAGGACATATTCCTGCCAGTGATCTGTCCTAAGCCACACAAGACCTCTGAGGAGAGGCGTTTACACGCGCTGGACGTCTGGAGGGCCTTGGCTTTTTACTTGGAGTGTACCAAGCCTTTCTGTAAATCGACACAGTTCTTTATCTCTATAATGGATAGGATGAAGGGACTTCCGGTTTCTTCACAGAGGATTTCTAACTGGATCACCTCTTGCATAAAGACCTGTTATGAGCTAGCAAAGGTCCCGCCGCCGCCGATTGTCAGGACCTATTCGACTAGAGCACAGGAGTCTTTGGCGGCCTTCCTGACGCACCTCCCGATCCAGGACATCTGTAGAGCAGTGACATGGTCCTCAGTCCACATGTTCACGTCTCATTATGCCATCACTCAGCAGGCCAGAGATGATGCTGGGTTCAGCAGAGCTGTATTACAATCTGCACAGCTGTGAACTCCTTCCCGCCTCCACGGGAACTGCTTGGAGTCATCTAACATGGAATGGGCATGGGCAAGCACTCAAAAAAGAAAAGACAGTTACCTGTTCCGTAACTAGTGTTCTTCAAGATGTGTTGCTCATGTCCAGTCCACAACCCGTCCTCCTTCCCCACTGTCAGAGTTTCCGGCAAGAAGGAACTGAGGGTGGGGGGAGCCGGTGGCTCCCTTTATACCGCACCATGCGGGCACTACTCCAGAGGGTGCTAGAGCCGCTCCCCTACAGATACTGCTGAGGGAAAAACTTCCAGCACCGGTGCATGTGGTGAGCATATGCACCTAATGTGGAATGGACATGAGCAGCACATCTCGAAGAGCACCAGTTACGGAACAGGTAACTTGTCTTTTTTTGTTCACAACAAGATGATATTGAATGCTATGCAGTGCAGGGCTCTTCAGCTCCCGTGGTGAGCTGAATAGCTCTCCAGCAGTTGGGAGTTTGGAAACCCCTAAAAATAGATTGCTTGGTTATACTGCAGCAAAATATCTTGAAATTCTTCAGGTTTCATATTCTAGGAGGACAAGGAAATGTGCAGAGATAGAAAAATGCAAACTTACTCAGAAGGGTAAGACATCCATCCAATGCTTTGAAAATTTCCCACTGAGTTTTTATATCCAGTAAGGACAGAAAGCTTCCAACGTTATGCACAAATACTGCTCTTATAGTAGAATGTCATCAGTAACCCTCAGTTGTAATAATCATCGATTTCTCTTGGGTATATTTAGATATTGAAGATTTTAATGTTAAAATGTTTTTTACATTTTAGGAGTATATCATTTTAAAAAAAAGAGAGTTTGAAGGTTGTTAATGATATGATACATTTTTCTTTTCCAGTGCTGGGATTGGACGGACAGGGGTTCTTATCACTATGGAAACAGCGATGTGTCTTATTGAGTGCAATCAGCCTGTTTATCCATTAGATATTGTGAGAACAATGAGAGATCAAAGGGCCATGATGATCCAAACACCTGTAAGTATCATACTTCCTACATTGTAGAAAAGTAATCTCATATTACTCAGTGGTTTCACTCTCACTGAAGACAGTAAGAGGTGCTGGATATTTTGAAAGAGGGTGGTTTAACTGAGAGTGACTATGGTCTTGGTACATTGAGAACAATAAGATATCTCAGGGATTTTAAAGAGTGATTCTTTGTGAGTTTCTCTGCAGCAGCTTCTGCTGACAGACATTTTTAATAATGAAAATAAATGGCAAAAGTCACTATTAATTCTAAATATTTCTTTTCAAAAGCTATCCTTTTTGCACCAGATCTGCTCAATGAATGGAGAGAGTAGGAAGGTGAAACTAGAGATGTGGAAAGGGAGGGTGACAGGAAGGAACAAGGCACTGGAGTATGTGTGAAGGGCAATGGAAAGACTTCCAAGAAGGAGAAGGAATTTGGAGGAGATGAATTAGGGGGAAGCTGGGTGATACAATCCAGCTGTGTAATTCTGCTCTGGCAATACAAAAAGCAACTTTTAACTCTGCCCTGTAGTGACACAATAGAGAGGAACACACAGAAGAAATCTATTGTGTCTTTAAAAATCAGTTTAATCTAATCTGGGATTATAAAATACTTCATAGGATCACGAGAGGACACCTGTCATAAGGTTTTTTTGGGTGCCTTAACTGTGTGTTTCCACATGTTTTTCTTAGCATGTTTGGAGTTTTCCTAGGTTTATAATGCTTGGTTTGGGGATAATTACAATATCCCTGTAATGTGCTTTAGCCTAAATTACTGATTTGTATTCTCTACCTTAATTCTATTTTAAGGTAATTTTTGTTTGGGAATAGATTTAGAATCTGTTTAAGAACTTTCATTTGTCTTGGAGTCAGACATAAGTTCCATCTGACAGCAGTTCATAGTTGAGCTTAATAGACATAAGGCAAAATTTCAGTGAAATGCTTCTCTTTAACTATTACATCACCAGTGTAACAGACTAAACCAGATTCAGTGTTTTACTCAGGGACTGCCTAAACTCTGCATGTTATCACGTCTCTTTAGACTACTTCCTCCTGCCTTTCCACTTCTGGATTGATGCATGCACTTTCCACAAGGTGGCATTATGTTCATGCTTTCCATGTCGTAAGTGAAAAGAACTGAGAAGAGTCAATTTTCTAGAGAAATCTTCAAACAGAAAAATATTTATACTAATATATGTAAATATATCTACACTAATACACATGTAATGATGCAATAAATAATTAAAATTCTAAATTCATGTGACGTTTTTGTTTAAGATCTATCAACTGTTCATTAACCAGGGCTATATCAAACTGATTTAAGCCATTGGAAAGGTAGAAATATTACCTTTCCAGTGGTATATATTGTTATACAGCGATCATTTATATCTGTGGAACTTTGCAAGATAGTGGCAGTATGTTATGGTCCGCTCTAAGGAATTGTTTTGCTTTTTTTTGTTTAGTTGAGACATGGTTTTAGTAACTCATATCTCAAGAACTGCTAGAGTTGAAAATAGAATGCTTTAGAAATTAAGAAGCCAGGATTCAAGCTTTTGATGACATAAAGCACTGGTTTCTCATTCTAGAAGTTTGTGAGATATGAGCAACTAATATGTCAAAATTAATGGAACGGGGAAAAGGCAAGATAGTTTTGGTACAATATTTCTTAAACTGTTAGAGGTAGAAAAACCTAAGACTAGTTAATCCATGGGGTTGGAGTGAGTCCCTACTCCTCGATAAAGGTACAGTTACCAAACTGCTGCTTTTGATGAGGCATAATTCTGCCCTTTCAAGATAGGATGGGTGACCTAAGAGACCTTTTCTATCTCTAACTTATATGATTAAGTTATGTTTCTTTTTCAATTAACTTAATCAACTTTCTTTTCAGAGTCAATACAGATTTGTTTGTGAAGCTATTTTGAAGGTCTATGAAGAAGGATTTGTTAAACCTTTAAAGACATCGCTGCATAAATAAGAGCAAAAGGGCTAGGATCCATATTGAAGTATCCTGTCCTCTGTAATAAACTGGCAGCATTCATTGTGCCATAACTCTGATTGCAGGAAATGGTGTCGGAGAACAATGAAGAATTGACAAAGGACTTTGAAAACTTCAGCACTGTTGCACTTTATGTTGAAACAAAAATCAATCTCTAAAACTCTATTACTTACATGTGTTTGAAGACTTTATTATTTTCATGCTTTGCTCCGAACAAACCATAAATTGAATGAACTGAGTGTGTTCAGGATAACTTATGATATCTCATTGTAGTGCCATATACTCCCCTTCTGGTCGAATTGCTACAAACAAGGCTTGGAATTATTTCACTCTGGTATACAACTTTTAAAAACAAAACAAAAATCTACACTAAGCCATGGTCTCTTCCAGTGCTAGATTTATTTACGGTGTACGGATCCTCACTTTTTGTTTTTAAAAACATCAGCAATATTGCCAATATTAGATAGACACTGCCTACTGATGCAGCACACTTTGCTCTTCACCCCTATTAGAGACCAGCTGGTTATTAGAGGAAAGCTGGAATCTGTGTTAACCCAGCAGTAGCTGCATAATGTCCACTTACCAGCATCTTGTAAAATATAAACAACATTTCTTTGAACTGATGGCACAACCTATTTCTGTGTCATAACACTGGTGTATTCCAAATCATGTGACTTAACATTACGTAATGGGAACTAGTGCATGCATTGCGTCTTAACCCCTTAAGTGCCTTGAGACTTACCGAGTATGTCTAATGAAAAGGCACTCATATGACCCTATGGGGAAGGTATTATCTTGTCATATTTATTTTATTGGGTTTATATTTTAATACCTGGCCCTTGGTGCTTTGAATATGGTACTGCAAGGGGTCACAGAATACCATTCCCTTTTTCCTTATACAAATACCTGCATGCTACTGTGGGTAGCAAATCACACCTACTTAATGTGTGAGCATTGTTTGCTGCTGTGAAATTATATGGAAAACCTGACACATTCCTTCCAATTGGTAACTTATTAGCAGCTGATAATGAAAAGCCAGTAGGTTGTTAGAACTCGTTTTACCCTACCATTGCGAAAATCTGTCTGATTTAATTAGATTATAACTTTTTAATACCACTGATATTTAAGATTAAACTTACCATCAAGTGTGATTAATTCCTTTCCATTATCTGCTAACCAATTATTTTTCTAAGTCTTCATCCGTTGATTTCAAGCCATGTTCGTACTGGACTTTTTAATTATTATTATTATTATTATTATTATTAAAGTAAGGAATAAAACACTGTCAAATTGTCCCAAAACTTTATTTTACACTTAATGACCCCAGTCATTTTTTGTTATCCTTGTATAAAATTAAATTGTTCCATTTTGTGTGCGTTGTTTCTTATTTAAGTCATTAGCATATTTGTAATGAGCAGTTTGTCTGTCTGTTTGATACAGTATCTGAGCTCATTGTAAGCATATGTATATTTTGTCCCTTTTCAATATTTTTTCCAGTTTGGGAGAAGCCAACTGATAAGCAAAGTATCGAGTTTGAAATACAGCAAGTAGGGGTTCAGTCACGTTTTTGACTACCTTCAGAAACCTAACTTTACATGCCAATATTTAAAAGGTTTGTTATTTTATTGATTTCCTGAAAATTATTATCTGTTCAGTTTTGTTAATAAGCTATATAAAGTGTAGAATTAAAAGATATAAAGTTCTAGACTGAGAAAGTTTAAATATTGTAAAATTCTTCTATATAATATACTCTCTTCTATGGGCATTTAGAAGAGATTAGTTATAAATTAAGAAAACAGTGAAAGTGAATTCAGGTCAGTTGAAGTCCTGGTTTATGAATTTGTAAACATCAAGAACCATGATGCCAAATAGAAGAGATATAGAGTTTTAAATATTTTTTAGAAATAAGAACAACATAATTAATAGTAGATGGGCTGTAGCCCTTATTTACAAAGAAATTCTGCTATGTATATTTCTAGAGTTGACATTCAATTCAATATTATCCCTCCGTGAACAGGTTAATCTTATTTAAAAGTTCAGTGTGAGCTGACTGCTTCTGCCAGGTAACTGACAACGTGGCTTGCTTCCTCGAGAAATTGATAGGGAAAGGTAGTAAATTTACCCAAATTTAAATTGAGGATTTATTAATCAGAATGGGCTGCCAAGAACCATCTCACTTCAGTTTATATTCTCCAGTCTGTAGGATCAACCTCTATACCTGCCATACTTGGTGTAATCCTGCTAGGTGTTCAGTACCTCAGGAGGCACTCAGCATCTTGTAGGATTGGAGCCTTTTGGTGCAGTTTCAGAGACTTTACCATTACATCACTCAGGTAACGAAAAGAGATTAGGGGTATGTGTTTTTATTTTGACACCTGGGATGATGATATAAAGACGTTTTATATGGAAGTGTTGAAAAAATCCATCTCTCCTTGGTAGTCCATTTCTAGTCAATAGAACGTGAAAGATCCCAGGATGTTCTCTCACACCTACTGAGCATAAATGGGAAAACACCTTTGGATATTAAGCCAAAAGTAGCTGTTCCGATTTTGACGGCCATCCAAAAGAAATACTTTTTCTCTGGATTAGAGAGAAAAATAATAATAAACTGGCTTTAATCTTAGTTTTGTTTTAAACTATCTGCAACAAAATTGTTACCCTGTACTGTAGTACTTTGGAAAGTTTTCAAGCTTTGACTTCCATGTGACAGCACTTTGAGCCATAATATTGGCTAGCTCGAAGGCTAATTTATAGGGCTGTCAAGCGATTAAAAAAATTAATTGCGTAATTAATTGCACTCTTAAACACTAATAGAACACCATTTATTTAAATCTTATTGGATGTTTTCTACATTTTCAAATATATTGATTTCAATTACAACACAGAATACAAAGTGTATTCGTGCTCGTTTTATATTTTTTTATTACAACCTAATATAAGTACTATACTGCAATCTCTTTATAATGAAAGTTGAACTTACAAATGTAGAATTATGTACAAAATATAACTGCATTCAAAAACAAAACAATGTAAAACTTTAGAACCTACAAGTCCACTCAGTCCTACTTCAGCCAGTCACTCAGACAAACAAGTTTGGTTACAATTTGCAGGAGATAATGCTTCCCATGTCTTGTTTACAATGTCACCTGAAAGTGAGAACAGGCTTCCGTATGGCACTGTTGTAGCTGGCATCGCAAGATATTTACGTGCCAGATGTGCTAAAGATTCATATGTCCCTTCATGCTTCAGTCAGAAGACATGTCCATGTTGACGGGTTCTACTCGATAACAATCCAAAGAAGAGTGGACTGATGCATGTTCATTTTCATCATCTGATTCAGATGCCACCAGCAGAAGGTTGATTTTCTTTTTTGGTGATTCGGGTTCTGCGTCTGAGTGTTGCTCTTTTAAGACAGCTGAAAGCATTCTCCACACCTCGTCCCTCTCAGATTTTGGAAGGCACTTCAGATTCTTAAATCTTGGGTTGAGTGCTGTATCTATCCTTAGAAGTTTCACATTGGTACCTTCTTTGTGTGTGGTCAAATCTGCAGTGCAAATGTTCTTAAAACGAGCATGTGCTGAGTCATCATCCGAGACTGCTATGACATGAAATACATGGCAGAATGTAGGTAAAACAGAACAGGAGACATACAATTCTCCCCCAAGCAGTTCAGTCACTAATTTAATTAACACATTTTTTTGTAACAAGTATCATCAGCATGGAACCATGTCCTCTGGAATGGTGGCCGAAGCATGAAGTGTCATATGAATGTTTAGCATATCTGGCATGTAAATACCTTTCAACTCCGGCTACAAAAGTGCCATGCGAACGTCTGTTCTCACTTTCAGGTGACATTGTAAATAAGAAGCAGTCAGCAGTGTCTCTTGTAAACAAACTTGTTTGTCTTAGCAATTGGCTGAACAAGAAGTAGGACTGAGTGGACTTCTAGGTTCTAGAGTTTTACATTGTTTTATTTTTGAGTGCAGTTATGTAACAAAATTACATTTGTAAGTTACACTTTCACAATAAAGAGATTGCACTACAGTACTTGTATGAGGGGAATTAAAAATAGTATTTATTTTGTTTATCATTTTTACAGTGCAAATATTTGTAATAAAATAATATAAACTGAGCAGTGTACACTTTGTATTCTGTGTTGTAATAGAAATCAATATATTTGAAAAATGTAGAAAAACATCCAAAAATATTTGCCAATTGAAATGTATTATTCTATTGTTTAACAGTGCAATTAATCATATTTAATTTTTTAGTTAATCGCGTGAGTTAACTGCAATTAATCGACAGCCCTACTAATTTAACTAAGCACTTAATGTCTAAAAAATTAAATTTTAAAATATACATCTATTATATTAAGATATTTTATGTTCATAGCCAAGTTGTAAGTGAAAATAATGGCATTGCCCTTTTTCATACTCTTACTGAGGGAAGGAAGAATAGAGAATTTATAGCAACATTGTATACTACTGGTATTTTACATATTTAAATGTTCTTATGTAAGGTTGCCAAAGCAGTTTGAGTTTGCAAAATCCATTTATACCACAATTGAGTGGAGTATATTATTGACTGTTTTTTTGTATTGATTTCAGAAAGAGACAAGAACATAAGAGTTCTTAGAAGTCTTCATCTCCATTGACTTAAATTGATTTAGTGTACTAACCAGCTGCAGTGGGGAAGAAAATCTAAAGTATCAGTATATTAGCTGAAATTAGGGACATGAGTTTATAGACAAGTGTTAGGTTTTTTTAAGCTTCTCTAAAGGCATATATATGGTGATAGTTAAGACTTTGTTGAGCAGCATTGAAAAGCATCAAAGCCTTATTTGCACCATAAAGCATTAGCTCAAAAAAATAATGTTTCAACCTGTTGTGGTATAAATGGCCTTAAAAATATTTTTATATGGCTGAAAAAAGTCAAAACTGCTAAATATTTTACTTTGGGTTATGAAGATCTGTATCATTAGCCTCAAAAGAAAAAAAAAAACTCTGTGTTTCATGCTGTACAAAACATGAATGTATCTTTCAGACATAATGACCTATGCGTGTTTAGTGTTATGACTGTGGGATTTTATGGATAATTATTTTCATACCATTTGTTTAAAATAAAAGTTGGGATGGGAGGGGAAGAAAAGGAAAAAAATGTAAAAAAAATTGTAACACTTCCATGATACTGATGCGGTTTTTTTTAAATCAAGTGGCTTTTGTTGTAAATAACAGCAATATTATGACAGTTTGTGCCAATGTATAATGTTACAGATTTCTGTTAGTTTGTTTCTTTTTGGCTTTATGATTGAAAACTGCAACTGCCATTTATTATTTTAAGTATCTTTGCTGA